ATTTCATTAGGAATATTGGATGCTTTCATTGTACTTTTCATAATTAATGCTGTGCAATTTCAATAAATATCTCATTCCCTAGGTCAGGTGTATTCATTGCCTCTTTCATATTTAATGGTGTGCGCTTTCATTGAATATTTCATTAGGAATATTGGATGCTTTCATTGTACTCTTCATAATTAATGTTGTGCAATTTCAATAAATATCTCATTCCCTAGGTCAGGTGTATTCATTGCCTCTTTCATAATTAATGCTGTGCACTTTCATTGAATATTTCATTATCAATTCTGGGTGCTTTCATTGCTTCTTTCATAATTAATGATGTGCACTTTCATTGAATATTCCACAGCTTTCATTGGGATTTTTCATTGAGTATCTCAATATTTCATTCCAATTTCATATCTGCCCCCAGGGATATCATTACGATTTTTCATTATATTCCATGATAGCAATGAAATAGCTATTATGGTCCATCCAATGGGTCATTGGGAGGGTGGTCACATGACAAATTTCCAAAAATGGTAAAAAAACAAAAGTTGTAGCTCTTTACCATAGCTTCCAGAATCAGTTGGAATTATGTCCTAAAGTGCTTCCATTGTGGAGATATAAGGTAAAGGGTTTTCAAAAGCACCGCGTTTTTTTTTGTTTTTTGCATTTTTCTTCATGAAAAGAACACTAAACAACATGATTTCAACAGATTTAGAAAGCTAAGAGAAGGGGCTACAACTATTGTATCATGGGAAATTTCTCCCAAAAAGGAAGGTACATGCCCTAAAAGGGTAATTGACACTGACAGACTACAAAGTTTACTAATAGACTACAAAAAAGACTACAAAAGTTGGACATAGACCACAAAGGTCAGACAAAGACTACAAAAATTAGTAGTGTCTGCTTTTCTCATTACAAAAGTAATAGTGTCCGCTTTTTGAGACTACAAAAATTAGTAGTGTCTGTTTTTTCAGACTACAATGGTTTGTAGTGTCCGCTTTTTGAGACTACAAAAGTTAGTAGTGTCCACTTTTTGAGACTACAATGGTTTGTAGTGT